TTTTTTTTGAAACAAAAAAAAAAGGGGAAAAAAAAAAAAAAAAAAAAAAAAAAAAAAGCCCCCCTTTTTTTTTTTTTTTTTTTTTTTTTTTTTTTCCCCAATTAATATCTGTGCTACACCAACAGCCAGCTTCATTAGCGATGGTCTTTTGCAGCTCACGCTCCTTGTGGAGCGTGTGGATCACTGCTCAAAAACTTGAGCTGAACAATTAAAATGCACTTTTTGGATATATTCTAATTTATTGAGATGCACCAGTCAGCCACAGCTGAGGAAGACATCTTGAATATCACAAAACAACTGTATTCAAAAGTACCTGCAAGCATAAAAGTTAGTTCACTTACACTGGCCTGGACCAATACCAGGTAGCGAGTTTTGTCCTCGTAGTTTAGCCTCTCAGCCAGGAGAATAATTCCTGAAAGTGTGTTCCCAACCCTTACTGTGTTGTTAGATACCTTAAAATGAAAAAAAAAAAGAAAGCAAAGTATGGTGATAAATCAGAAATTCTGATAAAATTACAGTAATAGGTCCTTAATCTGCTCTAACATGTCCATATACCGGATCACTGGGATTGTAAAGGATGCTGTATTCTATATGTCCATTGGGCCCGTCATCAATGTCTGTCGCACCATTATTTCCTGAAAAGCCGGTGAAAATGGTAGTTCCAACTGGCGTGAGCTGAAAAAAAAAGTGGGAGAAAAGAAAAGGGAAAAAAAAAAAATCAGCTCATGAAGCTTCCTCTGGGCAGAACATGAGCTTACAGGAGAGAGCTATCTTATTCAACCGGCACTATTGCCACGCTATCCCATTAATACAGAAAAATAAAAATAAAAAAAAGGGAAATGTAGAAGTCAGCAGCAGTCTGAAGGCTTTCGTGCGCCACTGACAGAATAACAAAACCTAAGTATGAGAACCACTGCTGTTCCCCAGAGCCCTGAGCAAAGTCCACAGGACCAGGCAGCAGGCAAGAAATGTTGTTCAGGGAAGTTGACAGCGATGTAGAATGACTCACTATACTGTTGGGGTAGCTGCAGATGGCAACATTAACAAAGTGTGGCAGAAATTTTGAACTTGCAATGCACAAAAGCACTGTGAGCAGTAAGAACTGCAGAGCTCTGCAGGGAGCTATATTTGATCTCAAAAACATGACTTCAAAGACTAAAGATTCACTTTATAACTACTACTTATATCAGCAGGTCAAAATGTGCTGAAAAAGTACTGCTAGTAGAACATGCATATTTACAATATGAGAAGAAGTTTCTGTAGTGCACATATAATGTGCATAATACGTTTTATTTTTTTTTTGCAAATAATGTGTCCATAACCAAAACTAGAAAAAAACAATAAAATAAAAAATATTTACATGAAAGGAAATGGAATGAAAAAAAAAAACAGCATAAAAACAGGTGCATCTCCATGAATTAGAATATTATCAGAAGTTAATTTATTTCTCAATTAAAAAAAAAAAAATCTCAGTTTTTTTAAGTCCAGAAGGGAATGATTTTTTTTGGTGTTTATTTCCAATAATTTTAATTATTGTTGTTTTTATTTCTAATAAAACCCCATATTAAGTAAAAAAAATAATAATAATACCAAAGGTCCAAAGCAAACAAAATTTAGTAAAGAAAATTCTATATTACTGTAAGTGTGAAAGACTCAATATTTGGTAGGATTCTTTTTTTTTTTTTTTTTTTTGACAATGCTTCATAAGTTCTACCTAATGTTTTACAGGTCAACAAAGCAAAGCAATACCTTCATCCTTTGATCAGATGGTGGTGCTTTTGTTAGTGTCGGCATCACAATCCTCTTAAGACAAAAACTCTCATCTTTTTCTAAAACCACAGTTTCTTTCTTCCATCCAACTTTCTCTTTACATATAACTGTGTGAACATCTTAGCAACCACCTTTTCTACCTTACTTTTCTTGGAGGGTTTCAATGACAGTTTGCTGGACAGTTGTTGAGTCAGCAGTCTTCCTCATAGTGGCGTAAGCCATAACATGGCCACAACCTGACATTTCTGCACATACAAATATTTGTTTTCGTTTGTTTCGCATAACACTGACAACTGAGAAAACACTGAGAAACTGTACTTTGTATTTTTGATGAGATGTGTATCGTCTCATTGGTCCATACAATATAAGCAATTTACACTTTGAAGTGCATATAGAAATAAATCAACTTGCGAATGGTCGTCCAGTTCATCGGGCTCCATCTGTATGGATGTTAGTAACATTTTTATGTTTTAAAGGAAACCATAAGGATTTGTTGTTGGTTTTTTATGTATGTCTGTTTCTTCAGACTTGACATCTCTCTATCCAATAATCAATTGACACCAGCAGGTTAAGGTAAGAAGCACCCAGTGTATGCTGGAATATAAAATTCTCTGACAAACTCAAAAAAAAAATAAAAATAAAAATAAAAATAAAAATAAAAAAAATAAAAAGACACTTCTGGCCAACGGCAATATAAATGACAGTAGTACATTCCTGGATCCTTTTCAAGAACTCCATGTCTGAGCTGAAACAAATTTATTGGACAGATTTTAAAGCAAAAATTGGTGCACTGTTTGTGCATATCGTTTTGTTTGTTTATTTATGTTTACTGAAATATGTCTATGCATGTGGAGCAAGAACTGCTCTGTTACCTCGTTTACAGAAACGTAGTAGCGCGGCTGCTGAAACTTGGGGCTGTTGTCATTCTTGTCCCTCACAACAATTCGAACTTCGTGTAAAATAACAGTACCAACCAGCTCATTGGTGCATTGGACCTGAACCACAATCGTTGTGATGGAATTAGGTGGCTGCAAGACAGGAAAGAAAAAAAACAAAACATTTTTAGTTGTTGCACTGATCTGATATATTCTTTGCAAGAAAATGTATTTCATGATAAGATATTGTCATATTTTCTTAGATTGTAAACTGTCTAAACACAAACTACACCTCTAGAATCCAGAAGAGACCACTGAGAGTCCCAAATTATGTTCAAATATTTCTGGTGAAAATGATGCTCTGTTAGGATATGAATAGACAGCATTAGTCTGTTATATTAACAACTTGTCAGTCATAATGTAAACTTAGCAACAGAGGTTAATGTGCCCTTTAATTAAAGCATCAAGCTATATCTCAACCTATCCTCTTCATTTATAGTGTAAAACGTCTCATGTGTTGTAATTTCTCCTATTGATCTTACTGAGCGTTCCCATCAATAGCGTAACATAAAATCCACCTCACTGCACTCCGTGCATTTAATCTAACCACTTGCCTTTAAAATGGCCTTTAATGTGCCAACCACTTTGCTTCCATCTCTCACATTCTAAACTGCACCATTCAGCCTGATCTATATGAACAGCATTTTTTTTTTATGTGCACCAACGAAAGATTAACCAAGCATATTATCCGAGATGCAGGTAATGCATATTGCTCGGCATGAAGTCGTCCAATGACTGTAAACTTATTACAGTAATTATCTAATTCTAGGCAGAAAATACTCTCAATTACCACTAATTCTGTTGTAAAACCATTTTTATGCCTTGCTGCAAAAACAAACAGCAGGCAAATGCAATAAAGAATAACTAATAAGTAATAAACTCTCAAATTTTTAAGAACCGAGAATGACTATTATTGTTTTAAACAGATTAAAAAGGTAAATGAAAACATATACGTCTCAGAAATGAAATGTTTGTGTCTTGACAATTTTTCCCCTCTCCTGTACTCACGTCTCTGTCCAGGATGCGTCCGGTGCTGTTGAGGTAAAGTCTCTGCCGTGCTGGTTCCAGTATAACCCAGTAATCATAGTTGTCAAGTAGAATCAGAGAGATGGTTCTGCCTGGGTCCTGGGCCCTGCCATTAATTTGCATGTTTTCCACCAAAACCGTACCTGTTCACACAGAAATGCATCCATTTAATGCAAGACACTTCACTTTTGCCATTTTATTTGAAGACCTGCTGATCAGTGAATATGTCGGAGGGACACTAACGGCAATGCAGTTTATTTATACAGCCCAAAGTCACGACAAATGTCATCTCAATGCTCTTTACAACACAAGCAAGACAAATTCATATAATCAAACCAATACAACAAAATCAAATTCAACCATAATTATTATTACATAATAACATAGTTGCACTCTTTGGAGCAATTGCAGGCAAGTGTGCGGCAACAGTGGACAATTTACTTTCGTCGGGTGCTTTTAAATATGAGTGAACAGTTAAAGTAATTTAGCTTCAGTCATTTTTAAACTAGAAAAGCAGCAGTATTTTATGTGTTGTATTTTATCGCTGAAACATTTCCAAAAAAGGAAAACAATTAATTGTACAATCTTTTGGTAAACTTTGCAAAGAAAACCTTGAGGATTAATATTAATATTCACCTCATATGATTGTTCAGAGACTGAACTCGTATGTCTTCCAAGTCCTTGAAGATGTTGCTAATATTTTTATTTTTTATTTTTTTTATTATACACTTAGAATTAATTAAGTACCAATGCTTGTCGGCTTTTTTGTTTACAAACTTTATCAGTTTATTACAGAATCCTAAATTACCCGTCCATCACAGGAGGACTTATGTTAACAACTTACTAAAAACCAAAGCCACTGGTTATTTTCTGTTATAATGTGATGCTCCATTTAAAAATATGCATCTTGTTTTTATTGCTATTTATTTTAGGAAAATAGCAGTTCAAATTATTATTTAAAATAATGGATATGTTAGTTTTGTAATAAAATAAATCAATAATTGCTATGTATATATATAAAAAAACATACACAGATCTTTCAACATAGCAGCCTCCCTTATACAGGACAAAATTGTGTCTTGTAAACATTGCTTATTGAAAAACACAGTGAGTCATTCTGACTTCCACACTTAATATCTGTGAGAAGTACTTTCAATCTACATAGAGCAAACGCCATTCCCTAAAGCCTCCATAGGATTGATGAGTGCTGCCTTTCAACAAACTTATTTTAGGACACAAAGCTCACAATAGTAGATGGGTCTCAAGACTTTTTTAAGATCAACTCAAAGGTTATGATTATGATGAATGTTCATAGCTTTGTCTTTTATCAGTGAATAATTCTTTTCACGTCAATATTCTGGACCCAACACCATAAAAATGTGAATTTCTTGAATTCCAGGTAGACCAATAGGAAATAAGGATTGGTTCTCTAAAACAGGGGCTGGCAGTAAATTTTGCCTGGCTCTTTCCGTTCAAGTCATGAATTTTTTTTTATTTACGCACTGAATTCAGGTTAATAAAGTGCTACTGAAAATACCAAATTTAGAAGTTATATTCAAACTGACTTCCATCAGTGTCTCAATGAAAATTTAATGCCATGTGTAAGCAGAGGGATGGTATAGTGAAAATCTTCTGTCAGTGTAACTTAAATATAGAAAGCCTGTCCACGGCCGTTTGTGTTTTGATTATCTCTCGGTTCCTTAGTTCTTTTTTGTTTCCTGTTCTTCATATTGTGGTTTAGTCTCTTGTTCTTCCATTTGTCCTTATAGCTTTTTGTTAGTAAGACCCTTTAAATTTCCATTAAGTTTTTCCTTTATTCACTCTTCATCCTTTCCTCAGTTCAGCGCTTTCATGACTGATTTTTATGTTACTCATCACATCCCCACAGCATTTAACCTCCTTGGTTTCTTTCTCTCACTGCTGGACTCAACTTTTGCTCCTGTCCTCGTTTCCCAGTGGATTTTTGATGTGTCTCTAACTTTTCTGTTATTAAAACTATCATTCTACACTCCATCCTGTATCCATCAATTCTCTTTTTGTTGCGGTCATTTCAGTCATGCTAAAATATATATATATACACACGATATGTCCTGTCGCTGTTTGGGTCCTCAACATGCACTGAACACATATTCCATGCATCCAGTCATTTTAAGAACACCTATTTGTCCACTGAAAACAATAATCATCAGTTAATGAAATCGGACCGGACCAAACTTAAAAGCTGGATGCAATGCTGTTAGCACCTAGCATTCGTCAACAACTCATAGATGGAAGTGAGAACGTTGCGCTAAGAAGTAAAACATTATTCAACAAAGCTTTGAGGAAGAGAATTTGCCCTGAGGAATTTTAATAATCGAGGAACTCAAATCCTTTAAGGAATCGTGAAAGCCCTATTTCATAATGTATTATCTTGCTGTTAATAGACATCAGATGATGCATTCACTGTTGTCAAAAGGATGGACATATTCTGCAGTGATACTCAGACAGGCTACAGTGTTTAAAAAAAATGTTTGCATGGTACTAAGTGGCACAACTGCCAATTCAAGTCAAAGCAGGTTAATGCTTTTACACCAAATTCTGACATTACCATCTGAAAATGGATAAAATTGACTCACTGGACCAGGTAATACTTTAAAAATGGCCATTTGTGATAATACTTCACAGTTCAAGTTTTTGTGAGCTCAAAGATGACATTCTGCATACTTTTACAAACATTCTCAGAGATGGTTGTGCATGAGAATCCCAGCAGATCAGCAGTTTTTGAAATATTTAGCCCACACAGCTGGCGCCAGCAACGACACCACATTCAAAGTCATTTTAGCCATTCTTGTGACCATGATGTAGCTCGGTTTGATCATCATCAAGTCGCATCCACCACACTGCATCGCTTAAATATACTGAGTTACTAACCATATGATTGGCTGATTTGCCATTTGTGCGAACAAACACTTGGATGTATGCACCAAGATCTAAAGTGATGTGTAAGCTTACAATCTGCACCTTAAAAAACAAAAAAAAAAACAAAAAATAACACACAAAATAAGTCCCCACAGACTGAATCAATCTACCGCCTGTAAAACAGAGGATGCTGTTGTTTTTAATGTGTTTTTTTAATTGCAGACTTTAACATCTTGTGCTTCATAATTTCATAAAGCAGGTCTAACCATCAAGTCATTAGTCACTCCGACTCAGATCCTCAAGAAGCAGCACAGATGGTGGCGTGATGGACGCTCCCACATTATAATTTAAAATCCCACGACTGCATTTTTATGCTTTTATTAATGACAGAGCTCCTTGTTTCAAGTAGTCAGGATTTGATGCATCTCTGCATGTTGTGATTGCAAGAACCAGTAATTATTATCACTTGGACTCAACTGCATCTGAAAAATGGTTCTTCTGAAAATTTAATTTAAAAGTCGAAAGCGCCCCACGTTGCAAGTTCATTAATCTAAAACGCAGCTTTACATAAATATGACTGCCTCGGTAGCTTAAGAGCAAAACTACATCTTTTTTTTTCCTAAGGTTGTAAATTAGAAAGCTGCTATTACAAAGGAAGGGAGAGAAACTCTTATTTCTCAAGTTAATTGAACAGTTTACCTGCTTTGACAGGCAATTCTACCACAGTTTTGGCTACATCCTATCCCTGTTGTCCTCATCCTGGTCTGTTTGGTTTTCTCTTGTCAAACATGGCTCCGTCCTATGTGCTGCTTTTATTTTACTTGTAAATAAGTAAAAGCCTTTTAGTTGCCCGAGTCCCAGGCGGTTCCATTAATAGTTAGAGAAATTCTCTGATCTGGATTTCACAGAGGCTGCAACCCACAAAGACAGCACAGATGGCTTACATATATCCAAATATTATTATTTGCGGCATCCACCCATAGCTGCACCAGAAAATAAATAAATAAATAAAATAATGGAGAAGCACTTTCAGTCTCAGAGTAATGAAAAAATAATTATAATGATAAAAAAAAATCATTACGTAGGATGGAGTTTTGCTTAAAAGAGGTTTAAATCGAATACATAAAAGGGTCACTGAAAGAACATCAAATGTGTTTTCTCTCAGTCTGCCACTAGTCAGATGCATATTATTGGGCTTATTGCTAGAATTAAATAGTTATAAGAAAAGGAGAGAAAAGACAAAAACAGAGGGAAAAAAATCAATACCTGCACATTAAACAATAAGGTAATTTCACTGAAAGTCTTGCTGCAACTCATTGTATAAAAAAACCAATGAGACCAAAATGAATATGAGAAAGAATAAATTAATGAACTACACATGACATACTTGAAGGAAAACCTGCCTACTCACTTTATGTGCTGTTCAACCTGCAGGTATGGAAATGCAAGTCTGTCAGTCGAGAGGGCAAATGGCTCAGAAAAGTTTGTGTTTAATTGTTTAATTTTACTTAAGGCATATTTAATCAAGTTCCCTTTCTGCAAGTCGTGTGTCTGCTGTTCCTCAGCCCTGCACTCAAACACTAACAATGCAAACTTTCACCAGCTGTCAAGGGACCTGGGAAGCAATATTAGAAAAGGAAATCTGTTTAACCAAATGAGGAAAGATGCAATATTGTTGCCATCTTACCACTTAAAAATGCTTTGTCCCATGTAATTATATACCTATTTCAGTATTCCAATACTGATCATGCCACAATGACGAAGCCGTCAGTCAGCAGTATTTGAAGGTATAGCTACTGTACTTATGCCATAGATCATCAGCAAAATGTCAAAATACTGTTTATGAATGAATATTTAAAATTAAAAATAAAAAAAAGTATAAGAAGAAGGCTAAAATTGTGTTCGGTTATTTTTTGCCTTTCTTTTTCTTTAGACAAAAATGCTCCTTGGCATTAAATCTTTTACTGTTGGAAATCCTGTTAAGTTCAGCCAAAGAGTGCGAAGATAAAAGGTTGGCAGTAGATTCAGAATGTGATCTTGATATCTTATTACATAGAGTCTTGCCTTCAACACTAACAGGTCTTGCTTTTCCGTGAGGGAGAATCTATCCCACACCAGCAAACTACTTTCACCAAAAGCTGTGAGGCATTGGCAGAGAGGATTAGGCAAACGCACAAGTCACAGATTCAACTCTGCTGCTCATCTCAGGGATGTGTTTTTATTACAATACTGCTCAGTGTAAGGG